AAACGGAGAAGGCAATGAGAGGCAACGCCCTGGGACTGCTGTATAAAAAGGGGAGGTGTGGGCGTTGCTGGTTGCTGAAGGCAACGGTTTGCAAAGTGCTTCTTGGAATCCTGGTCTGTTCATCTTGTTTGCAACGTGTTCCTGTGGACTATTTCCTTCCTTTGGACTTGAATTTTGCTGTTTGTGTTTTGGACTTATTGACAGGTTTGTCACCCAAATAAAAGGGATTTTGTTTTGTTTTAAAATCTCCAGCCTATTGTATCAGCAGGGGTTGGGTCCTTGTGCCTCTAACAAGGATGACAATAGGCTGGGATAGAACAAAAGTAAACCGCTCCGCATGGGAGAATTTATATGGGGAGCTGCGCATTCTCTGAAACATGGTATATAGTAGCGGCCAAAATGGTGGAAACCTTTTGGGAAAAGTGTACAGTAGAAATGCCATCAAAAGGTTTCCACAATTTTGGCCACCACTGTACATACGTACGTACATACATACACATACATATTAAAAATAACACTAAAAATGGATGAGTGATCCCTGGGTATATCCATACTAATAAATAACAAAAGGTGAACACCAGGGAAATTTAAAATCATTAAAAGTTTTAATAAAACATTAAAAATTTTAAAAGATTCTAAAAGATTCTAAAAGAGACCTAGCTTTCGTTGGTTCCTACCAACCTCATCAGGGCATAGATAATTCAATGGGAGAAGGCATTTATACACCAGTCAATGCCTGCGCCCGACTCCTAGACCTTGTGATAGGTCCCGGTCGGTCAATCACTGTGTTCATCATGGTCAACTCCTCCTCACTGCTTTTGCCTACGTTCCCATGGACATCAACCCTCCCGTTACTCCGTGGCTGTGAAACAGGGAGGAGCCTGTCTTTCTTCCAATTCAAACCACAACCCTCATAATCCTGATGTTTTTTCTTCTCCTCTCCTTTGAGATGACCAATAGGTCCCTTTCCCAAGCCACGATTACGATAGTCATTGCAGGATTCCATCGGAGGCATCCTGCATTCACTCCCATCGTCAAGCTTTCCTTTCAGCTCCACTCCCCGGATTCTACTGCTATCGTGAACATTCATGGCATCTGTCCTCCCCTTTTTGGTAGACCTCAGTTCGTAACGCTGATTAGGCTGAAAGCATCGGTAAGTGGCTCCATCTATGTCAACCGCATTTAGGGGTGGCCACCTCCGTGCCTCGTCAATACGTTGTCCCTCCTCCTTTCCCTTCATAAGGCACAGTTTGGATCTTGATTTGGTGATCGTACCTTCACCCCCTTCCATCTGCCGTGTTACCTTTAGAGAACACACACCAGCCCTGAGCGAGGGGAGCTCCCGATCATTTCCTCCTCGTATACCTTCATGGGAGGTAGTTTTTACAAGGAGCTCTTCATTCCCCTTCGTGAGGCTCACTCCGGGTCGTAGTTCAATAATCCTGCCTTCGTCCCCTTTGGTCTGCCGCGCCCCTTTTTGAGGGCATGTAATAGCTCCCCACGGGGAGAGCTCGCAATCATTCCCTTCTCGTGCGTTTACAAGGTTAGATCTTATCGGGTCAGCCGTTTCACACAGGCATGACTGCGATCCCGCCAGGCAGGTATGGAAATCCACGGTCGCGGTGGTACTCATGGTGGTGAAGTTGATGCTGTTGCGAGGATGGTTATGGGGTGTCTCGACCCAAGTGTATTCCGTCTCTTCCTCTGAATATCTCGCGCAACGCACGAGGGTATCTGACGTTGCATTGGCTCGACCTCCAATGTCAACAGGTTCTACCGCTCGTGATGGATGTGCTTTAATCCTCTTGGCACTAGAGGTCTTAAATCGTTGGTCACTACTCTCATGGGTATTGACGCTCTCCAGTGTGGGGGTGGGGTTGTTGTTATTATTTTGGTTATCCCATGACGATCTATTGCGTGCCTCCCATGACCTCAGCGTTCGATATGCCGGGCGCAGATCAATATGCCGGTTGATCGATTCATCACCCGAGAGCCAGGCTTCTTTAAGCAGTCTACCATTCTTTGTAGCATCACTGGCAACCACCTTCACCCCATCAAAATCAAATCTGTGACCAGACTCTACCATATGCGTCAGAATTTGGGAATATTGCTCCCCTCTTCTTATGGCCAATTTATGCTCCTGAATTCTAGTTATGACCCTCTTAGAAGTCTCACCCACATTCATTCATTCATTCATTTATTCGATTTGTATCCCGCCCTGGAGCAGTTACTGCAGTTAATCATGTATACCACTCCAGATTTCTCTAACGTGGGGAGTGGGTCTTTTGGCCTCATAATACATGAACGCAACGTCCGGCTAGGTTTGTGTGCTACCACAATGTTATAAGGTGCCAGCAATCTGGCTGTGGCCTCTGAGACGTTGTTAACATATGGGAGGGTGACACGTGTCGTCTGGGAAGGTAAAATCCCCGTCTGTAGATCACTAGGAGGTCTAGGTAGTGCACCATGGCGCTGTTCTGTCCCTGTTCCGACCCACTCACCCAAACAGCCAGCCGAGGGTTAAAGACTTCTCCAGACACCACTTCAGATAAGAAACTTGGCAGCAGCTCCGTAGCTGCCTGCCAAGACCTTTTACTCCAAACACACAGAAACAAAAACAATACACACAGTTTAAAGCCACAGCAAACTACTTTGCCAGAGATTCAGCTTTTGTCCGTCACAGAGGTCCAAATGGCCACCACCACCCTTTTATAGCCTGTGGGGTGTGGTTCAGTGACTCAGCTTAATCTCTGGCACGTCTCTTTTTCTGCTGCGCACGCTTGTCGCTCTACGCTGGCGTGGATCCAGCCACAACTTCTCTTCCTCATTATCCGACACACCTGGCTCCTGGCCAATCTCAGAAACACCTGGCTCCTGGCCAATCTCAGAACCACCCGGCTCCTGGTCAATCTCTTCTCCGTCGGAAGACACCTGAGGCATTGCTAAAGAGGAGGGTCCTGGAGAGGGAGGCCTGGCCATCTCCTCTTCTTCATGTTCGGAGCCTTCTTCCTCCGATAAGAGGGGCTCACAAGACGGAGCCACAACAGGCGCTTGATGAACTTCACTGGATATCCATTCTGCTTACAGATGTGGAAGAGATGTTTCCTTTCTTGCATTCTGGCCCTGGCTGTATTGCAATGGGCGTCAACTCTCTTAAAGAGTGTTCTAACACAACTAACCTTGTGAGCCACAGGATGGTTGCTATGATAATGCAAAATCCTATCGGTGTGTGTGGGTTTACGGAAAACCTTGGTGCTCAGGGTCCCATCCGGCCGGCGATGGACCAAGACATCTAAAAATGCCAGCTTACCCTGATGTTCTTCTTCCTCCGTAAACTGTATATCCGCACACACTGAATTAAGTGTGTTCACAAAGTCAGTTTTCCGACTCCTCTTAATGACGACAAAAGTGTCATCCAAATAGTGGGCCCAGAACTTGGGACGGTACTGGGCCATCACTATGTGCTCTAACCATTGCAAGACAGCCTCGGCAACAATGCTAGAAATCGGGGATCCCATGGGGGTGCCCTTTATCTGTTCGTATACCGTGCCCTGAAATGTGAAGTAGGTTTTCAGGCATAACCCTAAAAGATCCACAAGGTCGCCAGGGCGGAGGGAGTCCTGGTGCTGTCCTAGTCCTTTACAATCCAAAAGGTCCTTAATTGTCCTAACAGCTAGGTCCTGTGGGATAGAGGTGAAGAGGGAGACGACGTCAAAAGACACCATCACCTCATCATCCTCTATCCTCAGGGTCCTAATCCTGTCCAGGAAGTCCTCTGCAGACCTGACAGTGGTGTGGCTGTCATTGACCAGGTGGCCAATGCGATAACTAAGCCACTTAGCCAAACCTGAAATTGGGGTGTTCCTAAATGAGACAATAGGTCTGAGAGGAACACCCTCCTTGTGGACCTTGGGCAGCCCGTAAAATCTAGCAGCTGCCGTATCCCTGGGGCGTAATCTCATAAGAGTGTTGTCATCTATTCTCCTACCATGTTTGAGGGCACTGAGCACCTTATTAACCCAATTTTTAAGGGTAACCATGGGGTCCTTCTTCACCATCCTGTAAGCAGTCGTATCTTTGAGTAGTTCTAAAGCCTTGCGTTCATAGTGCACCCTATCCATGACGACCGTGGCCCTCCCCTTATCGGCTGGCAGTATGAGGGTATCCCTATCCTCTTTGAGTTGGGCCATGGCCTCCAACTCACCCTTAGATAGAGTCTGGTGACGTCTATGATTCATAAGGAGTCCAGTCACTCGTTGTCTAATAGAGTCTTTTAACTTCTTCCCCCAGCGTAACGTGGTGTAATGAGGCCTCCAGTGCCGCTACAAAATCCAAGTTATGTGCATCCATCAAGCATCACATTGTAGTAAGGTTAATTGGGCTTGGGTCAACATTCTGCTGGAGAGGTTATAAACCACTCCATCGGGTGGGTTACCTTTGTTGGAATTTCGTAACCCCTCAATCTTGTTTCAGAGCATGTCTGGAACGGCTCACCTTTCTGGTGATCCAACAGATATGTCGATCCAATCTCCAGAAATGCTGGTTTGTGAGCTCCATACAGCATTTTCCTCGGTAATTCTCAATAAACCTAGTTAAGCCGCCATTACGCCTATGCAGGTCGTTAATCACATACATATATACACACACAGATAGATTATATATACATGCATGTATGTATATGTGTTCATGTGTGTCTTGGTATCATTTTCGTATAATTTGGCATTTTTGGATGTTGCTATTATTGTTATTATTTTATTATTTTATTATTTAATATCCTTGGGGTGGTGACATTTGGGGGGGTCTTTTTTTCTCTTTTGGAAGCAGTGCGTGGGAATTTCATTTTTAGCGTGTGCCACGGTGTGTACAGAAAAAATGACCATAAAGGTTATTTAATTCCATTCAATTCATGCAGGTGAATGTCCTGGGGAAGGGTGCGCAGCCCATCAGTTAACGTCCGAGCCCAAAGCGGGGAGCACCACCTCCAGATCACACCCACTTACATCTGTAGCATAAAGTATTTCCACGATTCTCTGGAGGACCGGATCACTTTCGCCTTCGTTCTCCTGGCAGATCAGCTCGATGTTCCTCAGTTTCCCGAAGTAGAAATCTCGTTCCTTTTCTAAATCTTCCACAGTCATCTTTAATGCGTTGATCTGACAAAAAAAAAAAAGTCCATCTCAGAGCCAAGTCGCTGAAGGGACGCCACCACAAAGAGCCGTGGGGGCACAGTGGTCAGAATGCAGCATTGCAGGCTGACTCTGCCGACTGCCAGCCTGTTCGATCCTGACCGGCTCAAGGTTGACTCGGCCTTCCCTCCTTCCGAGGTCGGTAAAATGAGGACCCAGATTGTTGGGGGGGCAAATAGGCTGACTCTGTAAACTACTCAGAGAGGGCTATAAAGCACTATGAAGCAGTATATAAGTCTATTGCTATTGCTCTACGCCCCCTCTCTATAATCTCTGTGTCATCTGTCTATCATCTATCAATCATCTATCGATCATATATCATGTATATTATCTCTATCTATCTATCTATCTATCTATCTATCTATCTATCTATCTATCTATCTATCTAATATACATCATCTCTATGTATATCTATCATATATCATAAATCATCAAATATGTATATGTATCTATCATCTATCTATATGTATCATCTATCTATCATCTATATCTATCATATATCATCTATCTATCTATATCTATGTATCATATATCATCTATCATCTATATCTCTCCGTCCGTCCGTCCGTCCGTCCGTCCGTCCGTCCGTCCGTCCATCCATCCATCTATCTATCTATCTAATCATCTATCTATCTATCTATCATCTATCTATCTAATATATATTATCTATCTATCTATCTATCTATCTATCTATCTATCTATCTATCTATCTATCTATCTATCTATCTATCTAATCATCTATCTATCTATCTATCTTATATTATCTATCTATCTATCTATCTATCTATCTATCTATCTATCTATCTATCTATCTATCTATCTATCTATCTATCTAATATATATTATCTATCTATCTACCTACCTACCTACCTACCTATCATCACCTATTCTGTATCTGGTGGCACAGGGGTTAGAATGCAGTACTGCAGGCAAAACTCTGCCCACAGTCAGGAGTTTGATCCTGACCGGCTCAAGGTCAACTCAGCCTCCCATCCTTCCGAGGTCGGTAAAATGAGGACCCAGATTGTTTGGGGGGGGAACAGGCTGACTCTGTAAACCGCTCAGAGAGGGGCTGTAAAGCAGTATGGAGGGGTATATAAATGCTATTGCTATTGCAATATTTTCCTTCCTTCCTTTTCCTTTCCCTCTCTTTCTCCTTTCTCTGAGCCCTGGTGGCGCAGCGGTTAGAACGCAATATTGCAGGCAAGAGGGGTGGGAAGAGGAGATATGTGTGGGGGGGTGACACCCATGTGAACATGCACAACTCCATTTCTGTAAGCGATGGGCAAGCACCGCTCCCACAAATGGAGCTTGGCGTGGGTGCACAAGCGCCCACTGCTCGCAGAAATGGGAGTCACGCGCTGCTTGCGTGGCCATGGCCCGGAGGTCAGGGACCCCTGCTCTAATCCACTCACAATTCCTCATTCCTTGCCCGACAGAAGTTCAGGAGGGGCTAACAGACACACACACACCCGCCGGACCCCTTTAAACGGTTTAAATCCAGCGTGAAGGGGGGGTTCGGAATTCCCGTCGGGAAAAACCACAGCTGCCCACGTCGCTTACCGCCGCTGACAGACCTCCCACCCCGGAGACCCACCTGTTGTATCAACTCGGCCGATTCGTCCTCTCCGATCCCCCCAGGAGGCTTTTTGATCATGCCAGGCCCGGATTTATTCGCCACCGTTGTTCTCTGCGCAACCATGGGCCTCGCTGGGACTGTGAGAGAGAGAGAGAGAGAGAGAGAGAGGACGCGTTAGCAACGCTCCGCCGCGGGGCGCAGGGCCCCGGCACCGCAGCCAACCGACGTGAACGACACCCGAAGCGTGCAACCCGGCGTGCTACAAGCCCAAAGAAGAGCGTAAAGGCGCGAGTTCCTTCTGCCGCCCGCTTAGTACCAATTGTAGCCGCTTTCTTTAGGCAGAAGGGAGAGTCTGCTCGCGCCGCCTTCAGCTCCGAGGTCCCCACAAAACTGATATCTATAAAAAGAGAGGGTTTCTGACGATGAAGCAGCACAAACACAACGCACTCCGCCATGACGAGATCTCGGATGGAAACACGGAAACGCACAGCCTCCCCGCACAATCCGCGGGGCTGAGGAAGAGCAGGATTAATGGGCAGCTTCGAAAATGAGATTTTTCCACCCCCTTATTTGAAAAAAAAAATTGTGACAAACTAGCGTTGGGCAAGGGTCCAGGGCAAGTGTCCAGAATTTTGAGGAGGCCGCCCTGGCTAGATTGTGAGAGGAAGTGCACAGGCACAATTGTATATCGTAGATCCTTGTGTAAAAGTTATTTCGAATTGGTTATTCTTTCGTAAAATGTTATGTATTCATCACATTTCTATGCTGCCTATCTGACCTGACTCTATAAAGCCATTTTATTTCTTCTAAGGGGTGTGGGGTCCTTGGTGCTCTCTGAGCTGGATGGTTTTCCTGAAGACATTTCATTTCCCAAGTAGGGAACATCATCAATACTAGAAGGGAGGGGGAGGAGGAGGAGGAGGAGGAGGAGGAGGAGATGATTCTTGATGCTCTCTGAGCTGGGTGGTTTTCTTGCAGACATTTCATTACCCAAATAGGTAACAACATCACTGCTCTAAGGGAGTGGGGTGTGCTCTCTAGAAGGGGGGTGGGGATTGCTCTCTGTTTATGTATAGCAGCTTACCCTGACACTGTTAATGGGAGTATTCTTGGTGATTTGTTGATGAGGGCATTGTTTGTCTGAGTTGATAGTTCCTTGATTGGGGGATTACTGTTTGTCTAGTGCTAATCTTGGTGTTAAGAAACAACCACTGACAAGACCACGACACACACAAGTTAAGACTCACAAGGCAGGGCACTGGTGAATAAGCAGAGAGCAAGCCCCCCCCTCCCTTCTAGCACTGATGATGTGACCTAGTTGGGTCCTGAAACGTCTGCAAGAAAACCACCCAGCTCAGAGAGCACCAAGGACCCCACATTCTTTCTCTTCCTCCTCCTCCTCCTCTTCCATTCTGCAATCCCCCCTCCCTTCTAGCACTGATGATGCTACCCAGTTGGGTCCTGAAATGTCTGCAAGAAAACCACCAGGCGCAGAGAGCACCAAGAACTCCACAGTTCAACCCTGAGTTACCCATATCCTCTGCTATGGGTGTGTCTCTGGGTGTGTCTCAATTCTAGGATTCCTCCGATCACTGACGTTGTCAGCTGCCACCTTACGCTTGCTTGTAGCCCTGGGGGAGAGTAGATGGGAGGAGAAACGCTTGGGGGAAACAGAAAGTAACTGCTGCATCTCCCTTAGATGCTGCTTCAAGGCCACCCCGGCTGGGAGAAGGCAGCAGCTGCATACCAGCCTATGCTGGAAGTGACTTCTGAAGCCGTCTTGCTCCAATCTGATCGGGCATAGAGGGGCCGGCCACGGGAGGCACTTAAGGGAAGGAAAATTTGAACCCGGGGATTTGGGCGCGCGATTCTCAGTTCTGGCTTTGCACTACTGCAATACACTTGACTGCTAATAAAACGATACCTTTCTCAACAAATGGAGCCAAGGATCCTCTCTATTTGGACAGCCATTTGTATGAAATGGTATAGGGTTTCCTGCATCAGCAGGGGGTTGGGCTAGATGACCTCCAAGGTCCCTTCCAACCTTATTATTGTTTATTATGAAGAGACTGCAGTCATTGGTCTGAAGTGGTATAGCATTTCCTGCCTGAGCAGGGGGGTTGGACTAGATGACCTCCCAGGTCCCTTCCAACTTTATTATTATTTATTATGAAGAGACTGGACAGCCATTGGTCTGAAGTGGTATAGGGTTTCCTGCCTGAGCAGGGGGGTGGACTAGAAGACCTCCCAGGTCCCTTCCAACTTTAATATTATTATTATTATTATTGTTGTTGTTGTTGTTATTATTATTATTATTATTATTAAGAGATTCAGGTGTGGCAGGCCTGACAGAGGTAGCCTTTCAATCCAATCACCACCTCACCTTTGGCCAGGATAACGAGAGATGCCATCAGCCTGAGATGCTACCTGTGCTGACAGGGGTGTCCCCTTCCTGGGCCCTCCCAGAATGCTGGGACCACTTCTCCCATCATCCCCAACCGCCAGAGCTGGCCCAGGAGCAGCACTAGAACTCCCCAGCGCCCGCGGCGCCCGACACACCAGCCTCTCTTACCGGTGCCACCAGAACCGAGAGTCTTCTTCGGCTTGTTCAGCAGCGGGACCACCAGAGGCGGGGCGGGGCAACTCTCCTGGCCTTGCCGAGCGGCCACAGGGTCGTAGTCCTTCCCGTCGTAATTCGCGTCGAAGAACTTCTTGAACCACTGAACAAATTCGAAATTGTCCTGGAATTTCCCTTTCACTAATTTGTCCACGGGTATTATCTGAGGAGAAGACAGGTTAAGGAGGTTAAGACGAGAAGTGTACCTTCGAGAATTATAGCAGAGAGGTTTCTAAAAGCAGTAACAGGTTGTCCTCGCCTTTAAGGTACGGCCACACCTGGAATACGGCATCCAGTTTTGGTCACCACGATGTAAAAAAGATGTTGAGACTCTGGAAAGAGTGCAGAGAAGAGCAACAAAGATGATTAGGGGACTGGAGGCTAAAACATATAAGGAACCGTTGCTGGAATTGGGAATGTCTAGTTTAACAAAGAGAAGGACGAGGGGGGACATGATAGCAGTGTTCCAATATCTCAGGGGCTGCCCCAAAGAAGAGGCAGTCAAGCTATTCTCCAAGGCGCCTGAAGGCAGGACAAGAAGCAACAGATGGAAACTAATCAAGGAGAGAAGCAACCTGGAACTAAGGAGAAACTTCCTGACAGTGAGAACAATTAACCAGTGGAACAACCTGCCTCCAGAAGCTGTGAATGCTCCAACACTGGACAGCCGTTTGTCCGAAATGGTATAGGGTTTCCTGCCTGAGCAGGGGGTTGGACTAGATGACCTCCAAGGTCCCTTCCAACTTTATTATTATTAAAGTTAATGGGGAAGTTAGATTCACTTAACAAATGGGGCAAAACTCACTTAAGAACAGAAATTTTGGGCTTAAACATGGTGAGAAGTCAAGGACCACCTGGAGCTTCCTGATTCTTAAATTCATTATTCTGTGCCGTGCGCGATAGAATCCTAAGGGATACCGTGTCGAAATCCCTTGCCAATATTTAAGAGCACTATCCCATCTCTCTTACGTCTTAGGCAAGAGACTCTCAAATCTTTTAATCTCTCTTCCTATAGCTTAGCTCTTAATTCTCGGATCATCTTCACTGTCCTTCTCTGAACCTTTTTTTTTTAAAGTGGGATAGAAATAAACACGCTCTCAGCCAGAGATTGACTGAGCTGGGGTCTCCCCAGAACAGAACAGAGTGGATTTATATCTTCGCGTGATCTGGAAATTATATATTAATCCAGAAAAAAGGGGAATTTTTTGCAACAGGCCACCGAAAGACCAAAATTGCATTTCTTTCCCTCGGGACCCTGGCATTTGTTCACACAAGAAAAAGTAGGGTGACAACCTGTCCTTCAAAGCACCTGAAGGCAGGACAAGAAGCAATGGATGGAAACCTATCAAGGAGAGAAAATAAGGAGAAACTTCCTGACAGTGAGAAAAATTAACTTGCCTCCAGAGGCTGTGAATGCTCCAACACTGGAAGTTTTCAAAAAGAGATTGGACAGCCATTTGTTCAGAATGGTATAGGATCTCCTGCATTAGCAGGGGGTTGGACTAGATAACATCCAAGGTCTCTTCCAACAAAGATGATCAGGGGACTGGAGGCTAAAACATATAAGGAAGTGTTGCTGGAATTGGGTATGTCTAGTTTAACGAAGAGAAGGACGAGGGGGGACATGATAGCAGTGTTCCAATATCTCAGGGGCTGCCCCAAAGAAGAGGGAGTCAAGCTATTCTCCAAAGCACCAGAAGGCAGGACAAGAAGCAACGGATGGAAACTCATCAAGGAGAGAAGCAACCTGGAACTAAGGAGAAACTTCCTGACAGTTAGAACAATTAACCAGTGGAACAACCGGCCTCCAGAAGTGGTGAATGCTCCAACACTGGAAGTTTTTAAGAAGAGACTGGACAGCCGTTTGTCCGAAATGGTATAGGGTTTCCTGCCTGAGCAGGGGGTTGGACTAGATGACCTCCAAGGTCCCTTCCAACTTTACTACTACTACTACTATTATTATTATTATTATTATTATTATTATTATTATTACTCTATTATTCTGTTCTTCAGTGCAACGGCCTGCCTCCAGAAGATTCCAAGAAGAGACCGGACAGCCATTTGTCTGGAATGGTATAGGCCAGGGGTAGGCAACCTTGGCTCTTTTATGACTCGTGGACTTCAACTCCCAGAACTCCTGAGCCAGCATCGCTGGCTCAGGAATTCTGGGAGTTGAAGTCCACGGGTCATAAAAGAGCCAAGGTTGCCTACCCCTGGTATAGGATCTCCTGCATAAGCAGGGGGTTGGACTAGAAGACCTCCAAGGCCCCTTCCAACTCTTCCATTCTGTAATTTTCTTTACATGACCGGTTTCTTGATTTCCTAAGGTGCCAAAACGCTGGAAACAATTAGGACACTGAACAGAATAACAGAGTTGGAAGGGACCTGGGAGGTGGTCTAGTCCAACCCCCTGCTCGGGCAGGAAACTCTAAACCATTTCAGGCCAACGGTTGTCCAATTCCTTCCCCGTCATCTGTGTTTGTGATGAGGACCAAAACAAAAAAAGCAAAAAAACCCCACCAGGCATTGCGTAAATGCCAAGGTTGGCCCAAACTTCCTGTTCCTTTATTCCATCTCCAATTGCTACAAACTTCCTCAGCAGCAAGAAAGCTAATCTTTGTGTTTACTCACACCAAGGTCTCGCAACCCACCGATGGGCCAGCTGCTGTTTAGAAACACACACAGTTTTTGCAACATCTAGCCGAGAGCTACTTCCTCGGAGAACGTGGAAGGAAGGATGCACGTCCTTTTCTGGGGTGCAATTAAGGCCTCTCCCCCGTTACAAGTTTGGGGTATCGTTCCTACAAAGCAAAAAAAGCTAGAAGCGGTTTGCTTTTTTCTTTCCTTTTTTTTTTTTTGAACAGAAATTCATGTTACTTTTGAAAAAAAATAAAAGTTTTTTGCAGTTAGCATGCATCCAAAGCACTGGCCTTTCAGAGGAAAGTCCCTGGGCCCAACTAAACGGAGGTCGTTAACTCACTTCATCCCGGTTTTCCCAAACTAACTTGGAAAGATAATCTCAAGGCTGCTGTTTGCTCTGTCTATTCTCCCATATAAGATAAGATAACCTTTATTGTCATTTTTTTTTTACTGTGGGCACAAAGGCACACATCACAAATTAAATTTAGCTGCCCGCTCTCGAAGAGAAACACATACATGACACACACTGCTAAACATACTATAATAATAATAATAATAATAATAATAATAATAATAATAATAATAATAATAATAATAATAATAATAATAATAATAAAGTTGGAAGGGACCTTGGAGGTCATCTAGTCCAACCCCCTGCTCAGGCAGGAAACCCTATACCATTTCAGACAAATGGCTGTCCGGTCTCTTCTTAAAAACTTCCAGTGTTGGAGCATTCACC